ATGTATTTGCACATGTTTGTGTAAAAATATTTGGACTGAAAAATATTTGCAAACAAATATTCTGAAACAAGAAGCATTATGAAGAGACATTAGCTATGGGTGAGAGAACAGGGAGAAGTTGCTTTCAATATTATGCTTGCTTGTTACATCAACGATAGTTTTAAATTTGTGAGGTGTAGATTCGCATAGACATAGTATGCACACAGAAACTGACGCAGCTGATGCTGGATCAATCTCCTTTATATGCTAAGAAATTGTTAATTCAGAGGCAGATAAAAGCTTGATCAGGGTCTAATGATAGATCCCTGGGCAATCTGTAAAATACTTGCAAGTGTTTCTGCTCCCTGATGGTTTAATAATATCAAATAAATATCAGAGATGAGCAGATCTGTACTTTTGAACTACAATTCCCAGAATTCTTCTGGCAGTATTACTGATTAGTGAGCATAGCACTTGGGGAGATTCTGGGGGCTGTAATTCGAATCCCCAGATCTTCACTCCTCTAACATCAATGAGTTTTTTTCTCTCTTAGTCTACTGAAATGAAGAAATTGGGAAAGAAAACAAAAGTTGATATGTGTGTGCTAAAAAACTAAGGCTAGTTCTGATACTGAAACCAGCTTTCTGTGTCGAGCACTTGTTTGCTCAAGTGCAAGCTGTATATCGCAAGTGGCCAATATTTTACACCTGACTCCAAGTGACGACTCTCAATAGTCTAATAAAAACAGAGAAGATCGCACAAGCTTGGTCTGCGAGCCCCTGCCTAAAACTGATTGCTCAATTAAATATTGTAATTCAACTTTTGTCATGGTATTAAATACCGTACACAAAGCCTATTCTACTCTGTCAGCCAAGATCAAAAAATTGTACTGCTTATAAAGCTTCTACATTAAAACTTTCATGTTGTTTTTTTTTAAATTGTCAAGAAACCTTATACCAGACTTCACCTTTTGAGTAATGTATCTAAGGAGGAGGTAAAGCTTCTTAAGCATCAACCCTGGTGTTACACACCAGTCACAGCACAACGGTAGATATTTCTGCTTGTCATCTTTAGAAACTCTTTTTGCATTGCCCAGAATTTATAAGGTAGAATAGAAGGAAATATTTGTAATAGATATTCACATGAGGAGCTGCTTCATATACTGGAGGCCACACAACCTAAACCCATCCTTAGTTACAGGATAACTTCAATAAGTTATGATTAAATGTGCAACCAAAGTGTTCATCCGGTTGGTCCATCATACACTTCGATTGATCATCCACTCACAATGAAGTGTTAATTTACATAATCTCTGTAGGATCAAAACACACACACACACACACACACACACACACACACACACACACACACATTCTTATTCATCCTCCATGTTAGCTTATATATAAAAAATAGCATGGAGGATCAGTAAAATGACTACTTTGTAAGTACAGTGAGAATAGAATACAGTACCTGCTGTATAATTATGTAACTCTTTGAATATTTTGTTCTCATAGAGAATGAAAAAAAAATGTTTCCTCCCTGCTGTGTATAAATTTATGAGGTGTTCTGCATTTTTTGCATTTCATCACTTTTTACAAAAAAAAAATTACTTTGTTGAAGTGCCCTGTATTTTGTACAAAAGCCTTTTGTGTTTTTAATGCAAAATGCAAACTTTCTGCAGACAAACACAAGGTCTCTTGTGGTTCGTAAATGCCATTGCTGACAAAAAAGTTATTGCCTTCTCACTTCTGTGTAGGAATGAAATATCTCACAACAGTTACTTATTTCTTCAACAGGTGTCTTGATGTGGCATGACACTCTTTTTCATCAAAGATGTGAAAAACTGAGTATTTGACATACCCTTACTGCTGAGCAAGGGCTATGTGACTACTAGCTTTAACATTACAGTGGTGCCTCGCAAGACGAGTGCTGTTTTACGACGAAATCGCATTATGACGAAGTTTTTGCGATCGCAAAAGCGATCACAAAATGATGTTTCCTATGGGGGAATTTCACTTTGTGACGATCGGTTCGCTGCTTCGGGAACCGATTCTCGCAAAACAATGATTTTCGCACAGCTGATAGGCACTTTCAAAATGGCTGCCGGGTAAAAAAATGGCTCCCCGCTCTTTTCTGGAATGGATTCCTCGCTGCACGGGCAGCAAAAATGGCCACACTATGGAGGATCTTCGCTGGACGGTGAGTTTCAAGCCCATAGGAATGCATTAATCAGGTTTTAATGTGTTTCTATGGGCTTCTTAAAATCGCTTTACGATGTTTTCATTCTACAGCGATTTTGCTGGAACGAATTAACATCGTAATGCGAGGCACCACTGTATATTCTTACATTATACAACTTTAGGTATAAGATCTTCATGTTTCCAAAGCTGCCCTATTCCCATCATTTAAAAGAATAGCCATTATTCTTGAAAATAAAGAAGAAGCTATGCAGTATGTATCTGCCCTATACTTCATTTTGAAAATGTTATTCTTTCTAATTTTTCAATAAAATTTCTGATTTGAAAAGAAGCACAACTAATTAATGTAGAATCTGACCCCAAGGAGCTAAAAATGAAAATCATTATTGAAAATGAACCAAATAAAATACAAAACAGCTATATGCTATTCATTTCTGCAGGAGTAATCTACACAACAATGACCCTAATCCTTTTCTGTTATTGGGTTAATTGAGCTAAATATGTATCTGCAAAGGTTAAAAAGGCATTGTAAGACTGAACTTCTCAAAAATATTAAAACAACAAAATTCACATGCTGAAAGACAACAGAGCATAATATATATATATATCATCCTGACTCAGAAGGATGACTCTGTTCTTTAAAATTAGATCACTTATCTTGAGTTATATAATTCCAATTCAAAATTATATATTATGAAGTAAAAAATCAAGTTGGGAGTTTGGAAATCAAGTTTTTAGATGTGATGCTCCAAGTGATCAAACAGACAAGATTTTCCCCCCTAAGTTATGTTTTCTATATTACACTCTTTCAGTCCTTACTCACAGACACATCTCAACTGCTTTTCTCTCCAAATGCAACATATTAATGGCTACTTTAGAAGGAAAATGATTTAGAGTCATAGCAAACAGCACACTCCACACATCTGAATATACCTGTCTAAGTTCTGTTCACCAGTAGCATGTTGGCAATGCATTTATTTTTGCACATGCGGCAAGCTTTCTGCCCCCTTTTTTTGCTGTTGCATTGATGTTAAGCAAGTTAAAACAGGACATTTTGAAGCAGCTGATTTTACAGGCATTTGCAGAAATCATGCAAAAAAAAACTGAGACATTAAATTAATGAAACCAATATTTAAGGTGCTTCATGAAATAAAGGTGATACTGAAGATTTTTATTTTATTTTTCAGAACTAAAAGATTCTAAATGCTTAACAGAAATCCAGATGAATTTTGCATCAAAATTGATTGTAAACAAATGATAAAACTAAGATTTACTCGCTTATGAACATCTCATTGAGAGAGGGGATTCACAGCATCACACTGCATGTACCGAGCCTCTCAAATGGTCTCTGGTTTGGTTTTCTGTTTTTGATGCAGCAACCAAGTTCTACTGTACATTCTAATTCCTGTAATAATCCAACCAGTGACTAGCTCATTTACCCTTAGAAATATTTCACATTTTATACCAGCAGTTTAAACAGTTATAATGCACAAAGGAAAGGAAAACACATGCATATATGTAGCAACACACTAATCTATTTCATGAGATCCTTGTCCACTCTCACCTTCTCGCACAGCCACCTCTGGCTCACTTTTCTGTGAGATGGTCAGTGCCTCCACTGGCTCTTCCTTTGCTGGGAGAGGTGGAGGAGAAGTACCTTTAGCAACATGATGCGTAATCTGGGTCTTGCCAATGACAGGTGGCTGAATTCTAACTGCTGGGTGATGATATAGCTTGTTTCTGTGAGAGCCAGAAACCGTATAGCCCATTCCACCAGGGCAGATTTCCTTAAAAGCAGCTAGATTTAGGATGGGAAAACATTCCTTTTAAGACTCTAAAAATGCAATATTTCTGACACACTGGAAAATATAATGAAGACAAACTCTTAACATTAAGTACATTTCCACAATTATTATCTATTCTATATTTAACCAATATAATAAGAATAAGAAGAAAATAAAACATGAGGATATCATTCCATAAGTTACTCAGGGATTTTATTTGTTGCCTCTATAAAAAGATTTGACTTGAGAATTATTCAGATTTTAAAATACACTTTTATACTCATATTGACATGCACAGGGTAAACTAAACTATGGGCTTCTCTGGAATTAATGTTACTGTAAGGCTTATTAGTAGATCAGCAAGCCTCAGACTTGCATCATACTCATTCTCGTACTGTTTACTGGCATGACCATGAACAGAAACTGCAAGCTTTTGTTTTTATGTTAATAAGAATTACTCATAATATCTGAAATTGGAGGAGGGCATGCTAATTAAAATAAACTTAGTTTCCATAAGCCAGGTTCAAACCATTGCTTCTGAAGTTGGCTTGTACAGTAACCATAGTTTAACCATAGTTTAATTAAACAGAGTTTGAATGCAAGGATGAGTTCTGATTACCATAAAAAGGGAAATAAGATCCCCCCAGTGCCCTCACAACTACATCTGAGGAAGCACTAGAAGTGATTCCATGGCTCATTCACAAAATGCTAAATAATTATTTAGCATGCTGTCAAACCTACTCATCTACTGTTTTAAGTATAGTGGAAGGATTGTTCATTTGTAATTTGATGCCCTCTGTCTAGCAAAATATTAGTTATCATGTCCTCTTCAATTTCTACAGTACAAGCAGGTGGTATCTGATAAATTATTACAGGTACATCTAGTCTATTAATTCTGATTTAGATTTCAAGAGATCTTATAAAGAACCTTCAGATCTTATATATTCCTTCACCTTTCATACAGAGCTTGGGGTCAAATCACACATTATACTGATCTTTATGAAAGTTTCTTCCAGCCTTGCTGAAACAAAAAACAGCCACTGGAAACAGCAGTTAAAAGCGGGTCAAGGTGGGCTGTGAAAGAGGTTTAAGTCTTGTCCTAATGGCCATTTTGCATCCCAGAATTTCCCCCTCAAGCTGTTTGGGCAATTTGGTATTTGTAGATCTAAACTAAGCTTATATTTTGATGCTACTAAATTATTTCTTTCTTTCAATTTCATTTAATGTTTCAGAACATGATCTGATACAACCAACCAAACACTATAATGTAGGAAAGTATGCAGGGTAAATATAATTACGCTGTAAGTCGTGTACAGTGTGTCAGTGCAAGAATATGCTTTTTTTCTGGGAACCTCTTACCTGTTCCTGGAAGGGGACATTTCTCACAGTGGGGGCCCCAGGCTTTGCCAACACTGCAACAGCAGAGCTGCTTGCTGAGCTGAACAGAGAGAGGGTGCATACACTGCTTTCCTGCACTGACAAACCGGTAGCAGGGCCCTTTCTCTTCAGTGACCATGGGATTATCAGCTGCAGCAAAAAGGGAAGGAGGACGCTAGAGTTTACATGAGAAACAAACAGAGAAACACTACAGGAGTTCCATCACGAGACTTTTTAAAAGGATCAAATTTCTATATGACATCATTATAGAGGCAAAAATGCTGATGTCTCAGAATTAAATTACTCATAATATGGTTTGAAGTCAAAGTAATGCAACACAAAAGTAAATAAGCCCACATTGTTTAGGAATATAAGCCAATGTTCAAATTAGATGCTGCCATGCTCCAACAACACAGAATTAGAGGATAGCCTTCCTTCCCATGCATAAGCACTGAAGCAGAAGCTTAAAGCGGGTGAACAGCAAAAACACATAACATGGATAGATCACACACTCACTTCCAGCACTCAGATTATGATGTCATATCGTTTGGGACTACAGAATGGTTATTTTGGATTAATACAGAAGTCATTTCAACTCAGTGAGACCATTGTATTCTAAAAAATCAATGCCAGCCATAGATTCAATGGAAAAAAGCTACGTGACAGAGCTAAACACTTTCCCAAATAAGTCAACTAGCAATGCCATCATCCTTCCCTTGCCCACTGCTCCTTTTCTTTTACTGTTTTCTAAATTCATATTATGAAATATCCTATCAAAATAAAAAATTCCTTCAGTCAACAGAAACAGAAATATTTTTGATCTCAGGTCAAAGATATACCATGAGATGTACCATGGAGTTTAGGTTATATCCACTGCTATTGCCTTGGACAAAAGACCTGTCTTGAAACATAAATACGTTTTGGTTATGTCAAAAGGAGGAGAAAAATATCAAGGATGTGGCTGCTAGTAGAAATGCACAATCACATATGATGATATCATGTTTATGTCAGGCCTATACAGCATATAGTCTCCAAGCAAAACACAGCTATCAAGCTGTTATACCTGCTTTTCAGGGGTTTAATAAACCTAGTTTTTTTAGAACTGCAGGAAGGTTGTCAAGGCATGGCTAGTGGGCTGTTTTCAATTCAGTGGTTGATAAGTAGTGCAAATTTGGCATGTATTTTGTTTTGAAAAAGAAGGGATTGTTCATTCTAACCAGAATCCCAAAGACCTTTTCCTAAATTCAGCAGAGTTTATATTGACAAGTATCATTTTTAATAGAACATTGAAAATATCATCAAAACATTGATCCAGACCAGTAAGACCTATTAAGAGCCAACTAGCACATTTCCTATTTTAAATGAATGGAAGTTGCACAGCAGCAGTGATTGGTAGATTTCATTCATACACTGTTGTAACAGTTGTACATTGTACAAGATGCAAAAGAAGCATATGTTGACGGTGCTCTTCTTCCTTCTGATGAAACAAGATCTCAGTTCTTCTTTTAGAATTGCACAAATGATAATAAATACAGAGAAAAAAATAATTTGTTTCTTTGAAGTTCAGAATTATTCAAACGTAAAAGAGTGATAATACTTAATAACAGTCTTTGCAGCTTTGAATAAACATAATTACTCTTTTGCAAGAGAAAAAGCTTAAAACCACACCACAACATAGTTACTATACAAATATGTCACAATTTCAACCTGCAACAATTTATAACACAAGTGACCCAATTATACTTTATCTATGCTTCAGGCATCTGAACAGTTTACAGGATCTCTTTGGACAAATTAAGCAAAATCAAGAAGATAAATAAGTATGAACAAACACACGGTCATGTTGTTCCCACTCTTTGCCTTGGAAAAATGGAATTTAGGAAAAGAAGGAGGCAATTTTACAATCTACTAAGGTTTATACAGTTTTAGAACAGTTTTTGCACTTCATGAAAGAAAGAAGGTCTGTGTTCACATGGTGCTATTTGAGAATATTTGTATATTGATGTAGGAATGAGAAACTAGCTATCTCAATCTGCAATCTAGGCTAAACATCTCAGTTCTTTTAAAGCTATAATTCTATACCCACTTACCTCGGAGTTGGATCCATGACAGAGGAGATTACTTGGGAAAAGATATGTAAGATTGTGCTCTAAATCTTGTAATACGTTACAAACAAAAGAAACTAGACATTTTACATTCTAAAGAGGAATATTCTCTTAACTGAGCAATGATATGCAAGGAGTATATGGTTCTCAAACCTCTACATTCTAACATAAATCTACATTGCCATCTACCATGTTTCCCCCAAAATAAGACAGGGTCTTATATTAAGTTTTGCTCCAAAAATCCCATTAGGGCTTATTTTCAGGGAATGTTTTTTTTTTTCATGTACAACAATTTACATTTATTCAAATACAACCATGTCATTTTCTTCTGGTTGCTGCGCAATGGTGGAGGGTGGGCTTTCACTTAACTAGGGCTTATTTTGGGGGTAGGGCTTATATTATGAATGTCCTGAAAAAATCACACTAGAGCTTATTTATTTTCAGGTTACGTCTTAATTTTGGGGAAACAGGGTAGATCATCTTGGTTTCTGAAAGCCTACTGGGAAGTATGAAGAGGCCTACATCCTGGTTTTTGTCCCTAAGTAGGCATCCAATAATTACTCCCGGTTGGAATTGGCATTTTTAACATAAAAATACAGAACCATTAGGAAAGTGAATCACTCATTTTCAAACAGCTAGCTCTACATCAGAAATAGAGGCTGAAATATTTTTTCTCAGTTTAGTAAGTCACAACTGGAGTAGGCCCAATGGAACTTGTGGAAGAATAGATTTACCAAATCCCCACTGATTAAGGTGACCTGATGACTTGCTACACCAAGCAACAGATTTCCAGTCAGATTATCACTCCATAGTTTGCCATCACTAAGACAATGGCTATTACTGATCCCAGATTCCTACAAATATATGAAACTGTTCTGTGCATCCTCTTTGTAATGTACTCTGCATAAGCCAAGAACACCCAAGATTCTACTGATTTTTACATTTTTTTATTTGGAATTTTGTGTGACTGTTGCCTTTCCTTGGAATGCTTCTCCCTCATTTGTTCCAAATAAAGTTTACTAAATTATTTGGGCATTTGGCTTTGTTTACTCAAAAAGAGGAATTGTCTATAAATCATTCTTACATGCAAGTATGCATGGTTGACAAGCTATATCTTTTTTCCTTAGGATATAAAAATGATTAAGTACTGTATTTATTATTATTATTATTGTTGTTGTTGTTGTTGTTGTTGTTGTTGTTGTTGTTGTTGTTGTTGTTGTTGTTGTTGTGGGTTTTTCTTTGGCTGTGTTCTGAAGGTTGTTCTTCCTAACGTTTCGCCAGTCTCTGTGGCCGGCATCTTCAGAGGACAGCACTCTGTGCTCTAGTGAAGATGTTGGCCACAAAGACTGGTGAAACGCTAGGAAGAACAACCTTCAGAACATGGCCAAAGAGCCCGAAAAACCCACAACAACCATTAGATCCTGGCCGTGAAAGCTTTCGCGAATACATCACCATCACCATCACCATCACCATCACCATCACCATCACCATCACCATCACCACCACCACCATCATCATCATCATCATCATCATCATCATCATCATCATCATCATCATCAT